ACCCACTCCCCTCATCCTCCTGGGGTGCACCTCAGCATCTTGCCAGGGTATCTGCCACTGGGTACCAGCTAAAATAAAGCGCTTCTTTTCTTTTCGAGCCTGCCTCATTTTTGGGTTACAACATTTGGGGGCTCGTCCGGGATCCCACGGGAATCTCCTGTTCTAAGAACATCTTGTAGCGACATCTTCTAACACAAACAGGTAGGTACCTTTTTGAATTTGGTGCACATTTGTTTTGGGCGGATGGACCTGGTGTCCCTTCTGCGGCGGAGTGGGACGCCCTCCGTTTATCTGGGGTCTGCTTTTTGGTTTTAAGGTTTCATTTTATGAAGCTTTTTGGTAAAGCAGGCTATACTCTGGCAATTTTGGTTCAAGACTTCATTTTGTGAAGCCTTTTGTTTTCAGTTGCAGAGACTTGTCCTTTGTCCATCCGCGACCATCATGGGACAATTGTCTTCTGTATCACTAACACCTTTAACTGCAGTTCTTAATCATTTTAGTGATTTCAAGGAGCGAACAAAGGGCTACGGAGAGCCAGTATTTCCTGGGAAACTCCGCACCTTCTGTGAGCTCTAATGGCCAGTTTTAACACCCTCCTGTCCTCCAGAGGGGTCTTTCTTTCTCTCCACAGCTCAAGCGGTCCGTCAGACAGTCTTCGGACCCCCCACTCACCCGGACCAGATTGTCTACATTCAGACCTGGATCGGCCTCATCTACGATCCTCCACAGTGGCTAAAAAGGTTCCTCAAAGCCACTGACCAACAACCCCGAAACCCTCCCCTTCTAGCACCCGTTAAAGCCCTAAAACCTCCAAAGCCTCCCGTCTTACCAGCAGACGAGGAGGAACCCGCTTCCCTTTATCCTCCACCCTACCATCCACCTGCCTCTGCTCCTCACCCTAGCTCACGGCCTCCTAGTCCTTCCTCTCCTGACACCACCACTCAACCTGAGGAGACTCCTTTGACTCTTCTGCCCTTGCAGGAGGTCCCTAACCTTGACCATCCCCAACAGCCCCTTTTCTCCTTTGTCCCTTTTTCTACCTCAGATCTTTATAACTGGAAACATCAGAATCCTCCTTTTTCTAAGGATCCTCAGGGATTGATTTCTTTTCTTAAAACTATCTTTTTCACCCATCGCCCCACCTGGGATGATTGCCAACAATTGTTACAGACTCTTTTTACTGCAGAAGAACGCAAACACAAAGATGTGTTTGCAAAAAGATCAGTTAAGGGCCCAGATGGAGAGCCTACATCAGACCCTGTCCTGGTTGGACCTTGTGTTTCCCTTGTCATGCCCTAACTGGGACCCTAACATGGACCGAGGTAAGGAGGCTCTCGATCGGTATTGCCAGGTTTTGCTGGAAGCCCTAAAGGGCGCTGCTAGGAAGCCTACTAATTTGTTCAAAGTAACAGAAGTTAGACAATTGGCTACCGAATCTCCTGCAGGCTTCCTAGAGAGATTACAAGAGGCCTATCACATTTACACCCCAATAGATCCAGAGGCACTTGAAAAATCAGAAAGCAATTAATATTGCTTTTGTTACCCAATCAGCGCCTGATATTAAATGTAAATTACAAAAGCTGGAAGGATTTGAGGGCATGCGACTTAGTCAGTTGGTAGAAATAGCCCAGAAGGTGTTTGACAACCGGGAAGACCCCAAGGATAAAAAGCTCACCAAAGTCCTGAAAGTTTTGGCTAAAAAAGCAAAGACAAGATCTCCCCTAGATAAGGACCAATGTGCCTACTGTAAACAAAAGGGACACTGGCACAAAGACTTCCCAGTCCTTAAAGCAAGGTTACAAAAAGATGCAAAGACTCTTCTATCTCAGAACTGAGAACGTCAGGGCTCTTTCGGTCCCCTGGAGCCCTGGGTAACTTTAACTGTGGGGGACCAACTAGTAGACTTTCTGGTTGACTCTGGAGCCACCCACTCTGTGATAAAACAGCCATTGGGCAAGCCCACTGGAGACACAGTAAAGGTCTTTGGGGCCACAGGAGACACCAAGTCTTATCAAAAATATCAAGCCAAGCTGACACAGCCAGGACAAAAGGCTATTCAACACACTTTTCTCTGGGTCCGTGAGTGCCCAGATCCACTATTAGACAGAGACCTTTTACATAAATTAAAAGTCCACCTCAGTTTTGAAGGACCTCAGTCCACGATTGCTTTGGAAAATGCAGGCCCTACCAAGGTCTTAGCTACATACCCGGTAGGAGAAGGATACCTCCTTGTAGAAACCAAAGAGGAATCACTAAGTAGTCAAGAAACCAATGACCTCCTAGTAAGATGGACACAAGAAATCCCTTCAGTTTGGGCAGAGGGAAATTCTCTGGGGCTAGCTATAAATCAAACCCCTTTGGTGGTCGAATTGTTGCCAACAGCCACTCCTATAAAGTTGAGACAATACCCAATTAGCCTCCAGGCCTGTCAAGGCATAGCTAAACATATTTTGAGGCTTCACTCCCAAGGAATTTTATGGCCCTGCTCCTCTCTGTGAAACACCCCCTTGTTGCCAGTCCAGAAGCCAGAAACTCAAGACTACAGACCAGTCCAGGATCTGCGAGAGGTAAATAAGAGGGTAGTTACCCTCCACCCAACTGTCCCAAACCCCTACACCCTGTTAAGTCTCTTAAGCCCTTCAAGAACATAATATTCTGTACTGGATCTGAAGGATGCTTTCTTCACATTACCTATAGCTCCAGTAAGCCAACCTATATTTGCTTTTGAATAGACTGACCCTATTACTGGGGTTTCTGAACAATTAACTTGGACTAGATTACCACAAGGCTTCAAAAATGCGCCCACTCTCTTTGATGAGGCTTTGGCTAGAGATCTTTTGGGCTACAGAGAAGAACACCCGGATATGATTTTATTACAATACTTGATGACATCCTATTGGCCACTGAATCACGAGAACATTGTGTTTCAGCAACCCGAGCCTTGCTTAAAACCTTAGATATTTTGGGTTATCGAGTGTCAGGAAAAAAGGCTCAACTATGCCAAAAACTGGTTACATATCTGGGATATCAAATACATTAGGGCAAATGGACTCTATCTCCCTGACGGGTTCAGGCCATTTTACAGATTCCCACCCCCATTAACAAAAGACAAGTTCGTGAGTTTCTGGGTGCTGTAGGCTATTATAGACTCTGGATCATTAACTTTGTGGAGGTCGTTCAGCCCCTCTGTGATGCTGTGGGAGGACCCACTCAGGACCCTCTCAACTGGACTCCCAGGAAACGTCCTTCCAGCAGTTAAAACAGGCCCTTATCGAGGCACCTGCATTGGCCTTACCAGACCTCCATAAGCCTTTCACCCTTTATGTAGATGAATAAAGGGGCATTGCAAAAGGGGTTTTGACCCAAACCTTAGGACCCTGGCAACAGCCCACTGCTTACCTTTCAAAGAGGTTGGACAATGTGGCTGCTGGATGGCCTGCTTGTCTTCGGATAATAGCAGCAGTAGCCCTCTTGGTCAAGGAGGCCCAAAAACTAACTTTTGGACAGAAACTTTTAGTAGTCACTCAACATTCACTGGAGACCTTGATCAAAGCTCCTCCTGACCGATGGATGTCAAATGCTCGCATTGTCCAATATCAAGCTTTACTTCTTGAACAGTCTACGGTAACCTTCAAAAAGGCTATAACCCTCAACCCAGCCACCTTGCTACGAGATGATGACTCCTCTCAACCAATTCATGATTGCGTTGCCACTCTTGAGACCACTACCAGTCTCAGACCAGACCTGACTGATATACCTCTGGACGACGCAGAAGACACCTACTTCTCAGATGGTAGCAGTTTCATCAATCAAGGTAAGAGAGTCACTGGCACCGCTGTCACCACCTCCACTGAGGTTCTTTGGACACAAAGTTTAAAATCAGGCACTTCAGCTCAAAAAGCTGAACTAATAGCCCTTACTCAGGCCTTAAAATTGGCTAAAAACAAAAAGATCAATATCTACACAGACAGTAGATATGCTTTTGCTACTGTTCATGTGCATGGAACTGTTTACCATGAGAGGGGGCTCTTAACCTCAGGTGGACAAAAGATTAAAAATGCACCTCAAATATTGTAACTTTTGGCTGCCATTGGGCTGCCTAAAAAGGTTGCAGTTATCCATTGTAAAGCTCACCAAGTGGGAACAGATCCCATCATACAAGGAAATAATCTGGCCGATGCCACAGCTGAAGAGGCAGCAATAAATCAGTGGAAAATGAGCCTCTCCCCACTTTACTATTAGTTCCTCCTACTCTCTCAAGCCCAGTCTACACTCAAAAAGACTTACATTTGGCTCTACAACTACAAGCTAATCCTAATATACCAGGAGGGTGGTACCAACTCCCTGATAAGTGGGTATTACTGCCTGAGACATTGGAAAGAGAACTGATCCAGCAAGCACACCAAGCCACACATTTGGGGAGCTCAAAGTTGGCTGAATTGTTCCGAGACAGATTCTTCATCCCACAGCTCTCTAAAATAGCTCAGTCTTGCAGTTTGAGGTGCATACAGTGTCAGCTCGTAAACTCCAAGAGCCAAAAGCCATTGGAAACCTATAGATATCATGGAACTATGCCCGGAGAACACTGGGAAGTTGACTTTACTGAAATGGGCAAGCCAGGACTACATGGACACAAGTACCTGTTAGTACTCGTGGATACTTTCACTAGTTGGGTAGAAGCCTATCCCACCAAGTCAGAATCGGCTTTAACAGTTGTCAAAAAGTTATTATATGAGATCATACCTCAATTTGGCCTCCCATTGTCTATGGGCTCCAATAATGGTCCTGCTTTTATAGCCCAGATCACACAAAAACTATCTCAGGCTTTACAAATTAATTGGAAACTCCATTGTACCTACTGACCACAAAGTTCAGGACAGGTAGAATGTATGAACTGGAACTTAAAGTCCACTATTACTAAGTTGGCCTTGGAAACTGGCAAAAACTGGGTGAGTCTCCTTCCTTTTGCCCTTCTTCATGCATGGTGTACCCCCTATGTCTCTGGAATCTCACCTTTTGAAGCTATGTTTGGGCACCCCCTCCTCTTATCCCTAGACTGGTTAAAGAAAGACTGGCTGAGCTTGCTTACCAAGATCTTATTAAGTCCCTTCAGGCTCTACAGCCCGTGCTGATTTCCATCCACCCACTGTTTTGTCAAAACCACCCAAGGCCCCACTCGATGCCCAACACATCTGAGGAGAATCCACCAGCCACAGAACCTGGAACTGAAGTCCTCATCAAAAGACACCATTGAGAGTCTCTTGAACCACGCTGGGAGGGACCTTTCACCATGATCCTCAGCACCCTGACTGCAGTATAGTTTGCAGGAAAGCCTGCCTGGATTCATCACACCCATATCAAACCAGTCACTTCAGCCAACAGGGACTCAGATAAGTGGAGGGTTACAAAAACCAATCATCCCCTTAAGATTAAGATAACAAAATGCTCCTAGCATTCTTGTTTTGTTGACTTCTTGAACCATTTTCTGATGTTCTGGCTTGATCACCCCAATGACATACCCCTCATTTCGGGAACTGAAAGTTAACTGATCTTGTAACTGGGTCCGTTATTAAGACTAATTCTACAGTTCATGCCCGACTTACTGTAGACCTATGTGAACTATTCCCCTTAGCCACAAATGGGTTTTATTCTCCTTTTGGACATCGGGTACAACCTGGAGTTTCTGCCAAGCTTTTTATTGTGGCACCCAACAAAATGAGAAACCACTCCAATTGGTTGATTTCTATATTTGTCCCCAGGTCCAACAAAAACCAACATCCCCCCACCTCCCTACAGATTACCACACCAAATGATGTGGACAAGAAATTCTTCATTTTTTTGTGCTTACTGGGGATGTGAGACCATCTCCCCTTGGATGGGTGACTCAGACCCATACCTTCGAGTGACCTGTCAAAAGCCAACAACCTGTTCAATAGGCTCATGCAACCCACTAATCTTTACCTTTGATAAGGTAAAAGATGTCCATTGGTTGCAAGGCCAAAACTATGGTATCCAGCTTTATATTTCAGGCTATGATCTGGGTCGCTCCTTTTCAATGCAATTTGTGCCCAGACCAGATCGGTCTCCCCCACCTCGTCCCATTGGTCCTTTATTGCCTGCTCTTCCTAAACTGCCCACATGCATTAAATCAACCACAACACCAGTCATGGCTTCTGCCATTCATGAGAGAGCCCCTTTTCCTATGTTACCTTCTTCCCCAGATCCCTTCCTACCTCTTGATATCATGTATCAATACCTTAACTTGAGCAATTCCAACCTAACTGCTGATTGCTGGCTTTGTCTCCCTCCACATCCACCTTTTTATTCTGGCACCGTTTACGAGCCACAACAGGCAGGGACATCCAAAATTCCTCTGCTGATAATCCTACCTGCTGGTGGGGACAAAAGCCTTTACTCACATTAGGAAATGTTAATGGACACCCTGGTACTTGCATCTATTCTGCGAGGTACCCCCTAATTTCTCCCCCATATAACACCCTTTGTAATCACTCCCTTTCCAGCTCCATTCCGAACTTCACCACCCCGCTAATCAACACCTTGTCACTCCAAATGGAATTTGGTTTGCTTGTACCTCTGATATTACTCCCTGTGTTAAGCTTCAGACTTTTATCCAACATCATGAACTATGCATACTAGTTCACATCCTGCCCCAGGTTTACCGGTATTCAGGAGAAAGTGGAAGGTCACACATCTTCCCTTACCAGGAGTTGGCCTCACCCCTGTCTCGCTCAAAGAGGGCTAACTCTGTGTTAATACCAGTCTGGCTAGGATTGAGACTGGCTGGTTCCATTGGAATTGGAACATCTAGCCTAATAGTCGGAGATTTAAATTATAAGCAACTTAGTGCTTTAATCGATCAAGACCTAGCTAACCTAGAAAACTCTGTATCTAAATTAAAAGAGTCCCTTAGTTTACTTGCTGAAATGGTTCTACAGAACTGGAGAGGCTTAGATCTTCTCTTTCTCAGAAAGGAGGACTTTGCTTGGCTTTGGGAGAAACTTGTGGTCTATATGCCGATCACTCAGGAGTGATTCCAGAAAACATGTCAATCCTCAGAAAAAGGTTACAAGAAAGAGAACAAGAAAGACTATCAGGTCAAAATTGGTCTCAGAGATGGTTTTTGTTCTCCCCTTGGCTGACAACTCTTTGTCTGCCATGGTTGGCCCTCTCCTAATGTTACTGGGGTGTGTAACTATTGGCCCTTGTGTGATTAGCAGACTTATTTCTTATATTCAAGATAAAATTCAGACAGCCAAAATGTTAGTTTTCAAGTCTCAAGGATATGAACAACTGTCGCTCACCGAGACCCCTTTCTCATGAGCCAAAGATTCGACTCACCCCAATAAAATCAGTGGGGAATGTTATAACCTGTGAAATTGATACAAGTTTTGTAACTCTATATGCTTCCACTGTAACTTTATTAACTGTTATAACCTGACATATGCGCCGCCATCTTGTTCTGTATGCACCATTCTAAATGCTGTAACTTTCCATTGTGCCCTTTCTCTACTTGAGAACCTGCAGTTGGGCCTTTCTCACGCTGCCCTTTTGTGCAAACCTGAATCTAGTTCCGGCCCAATGCCCTGTTCTTGCCCTCGTTCCCAGCTACAAACTGTACCCACCACTGCACCTGTTATTGTTCATTAGAAACAGGTAATTTTTCAACTGTAGCCCCTAGATGAACCGTTGATGTCAGCTTTTGTGGTTTATTGGCTTAAATACCCACTCCCCTCATCCTCCTGGGGTGCACCTCAGCATCTTGCCAGGGTATCTGCCACTGGGTACCAGCTAAAATAAAGCGCTTCTTTTCTTTTCAAGCCTGCCTCATTTTTGGGTTACAATAGAAATCTGTCACTCTTGGAGTCTCAATGGGAACTATTACCTGCAGATGTTGACAGTTATCACTTGTCTCCTAACCCATGCAGATGTGGCACATGGGCAGAACTCCCACATAGGTGGTACAGGCATGGAGGGAGGTTAGTTTCAATAGATGGCAAGTTGGGTATTTCTCATGCTGAGTCTAGACTCTATCACAGCCCCCTAGCCTCATTGGGTCTCAAAGTACCTACCCCAGGTTACCTCCTGAAGTATCTCCAGGATTTGTTGCTGGAGTCAGGGCATCTTACAAGTTCATAGAGCTAAGCTGACCCTCTCCCAGAGCTACCTCCCCTGGCTACAGAGAACATGGCATGACCCAAATCTGGGCATAAATGTGTCTCTGCTTCTCTCTTAGCATCTGGAGCTAATGCCCTCTGACCCAGGTTCCTGTCATTATCCCTCCATGCCTCCCAATTCTCAGCACTCTCATTGTAAGAATACCCCCAAAGCAGAAGAAAACTGTGGAGTTTAGATGGCAGAACCACTTCAGACTGGCTTAAAGCTCAGAGTACCTGATTCCTCCCCAGAGCTTGAGTTCCCCCAGCTCCCCCAGAGAGCTTACATGGCAGGGTAGGAAGTCCCATCCCTCACACCACTCCAGGGTTCAGGAACTTCAGGAGGTGCAAACCGCAGTGGTCCTACAGGTGGCTTGGCAAAGGGGATTCCCAGGAAGGTGTGGACCCCCACATCGGTGCCCTTCACATGGCTGAGACTGCCCCTCACCTTCCCTGTGAGTGTGGTCCGGATGGGGCTGGCAGAGTCCTGGGCTGTGGGCAGAAAGATGCGCATCAGGGCTGGGTCTGCCCAGTCAGCTCCTCCCACACTGGGTACTGCCACTCCTTGCCATCCTTACTAAGCCTTGTTAAGTGACCCTGATCTCTGGAAAGGAAAACACTTCCTTTACACTCCTACTTTGCCCTTTACTCTAAACATGATTCTATTTGTATGACAAATAGAGCAGATTAGTGGGTGTCTAGTGCTCAGGTGTAAGGATGCGTTTCAGGAAAGAGACTTTGAGATCTTGAATTCTATGAAAATAGCAAAAAACACTGAAGTGTTAATGGGCCCTATTTGTGTAAGGTCTTGGAGAATTTGATATTCTCTATGGAAAAGCTAAGACTGGGTGCATCCCCCTCCACCTGAGTCCCTTATGGCTTGTGAATTGCAGTTTTCTTCCATGTCAGTGAGTTCTTTGTTACCATATTGAATCTAACCTGAAGATTGAGAATATTCTGATAAAAATGTGGTTCTATACTGACTACACACACGTTTTTCTTTTTTTTTTTTTTTACATTTGAATATATGTCTTTTTTTTTTTTTTTTTTTTTTTTTTCCAAAGTTTTATTGACAAACAGATAGCAATGAGACAGTTTCAAATCATATCGGAAGGACAGTTTCAACAAATAATACACTGCATATATTCTTCTTAGTGGTTAATTGCTGTACAAGATGCGGACTTGTGATCCCATTTACAAACACCATTAGAACAAATCATTCTATTCATTAAGAGAATGCAACTATATATCTATCCCAACCTCTTTGAATACACAGATACAAAATGGACATTCATCGGTATACCCCATTTTTTCTAAGTTCCGTTATTGAATATTATAGGTGTGTAAACTCAGCAAAATATTCTAAAAGAGTCCAGTAGCCCATAATAGCATTGGGTCTTATATTTAACTGGCAATGTCAGAAATTATTGACCTGAGTCCCCCACAGCTCAACCCAACAGCATGGCTTTATTTCTTATATTTCGACTTCATACTTTTCTACTGGATGGTTAAGACCAAGGTAAAGCAGGACCTATGCCACAAGAGTTGTAGCTTTTTGGTCTGAGAAGGTCAGTGAAATGCCCTCAGGATTTGTCCTGAGATCCTGTACCTCAGATTGTGGAACCTTCATCAGTGCAGCCATGTGGATGAGTCACGGCCATTGCTTGGCCAATGTGCTCTCTGTGAAAGCCTGAGAGAGTGTCTTCTCCCCATGTGACTCTCCTTAGGCACACTCTACGTCATCGATCACTTTCCTCTTTGGCCCCATAATCTTCTTGATCAGAAAATTTGGGACACTACCGAGGTACATGACGTTACAGTACAAGTTCTCATATTACACACACGTTTTTCATGTCATTATTTTCTCAATAATATAGTACAAAATTATTTATGTAATAATGTAATGGGTTAACTCACGTTTTAGATTATAAATGTAAATCTTGTGCCTTCTGTTGTAAATGTATACTCACCATTGTTCTAAGTTGTTTAGTAAATAGTGGCTGTTACTTGCTGTTTGCTAGATAAAATTTCTACCTAACCAATCCCTATAAACAAAGTTAGATTACAGAGGTGATTTCAAAAGGAAACTAAATGGGATTTAACTTCTTGTAACCTTGGACTATGCAAGATTGCCTGCAGGTACTTACTCAGGTGCAAGATAACCAGAAACTAAAACAAAGCCCCAGGAAATTAAATTTGGGTAGTGGTCACAATGACCCTGAAAGCATTGTTTTGTGTCAATGAATTTGTTTACCAAACAGAATATGGTTTCATGTTTTAAAAGCTCCCTGCTTCCTGGGCTAGCTGCCTTTCTGTCCTCTCCTGCGTGAGAGCTGATCAGGGGCCCTGAGCTCAGTAGTAAATGGCTTTCCAAATTCCAATCTGGGTGATCTGGTTCCTATTCTGAGTGACCCATAATAATACTAGACACTAAAAATAACCTAGTGTTTTTTCAAGTATATATACTTAGTCTCTATACAAACATTGGGCATTTTATGTAAGGGCCTAGTGCATACGTAGATTTGGATACAGGTTGGTGACTCCTGGATCCAAAATCTCATGATGTCAAGGAATAGTTGTATTCTTTTTTTTTTTTTTTTTTTTTGAGTAGTTGTATTCTAGCTGAATATGAGTCCAAGTCAACTTCTTCCCTTCCTTTCCCCCATTTCCTACCTATCTTCCTGCTCTCTTTCTCACTCTCTCTCTCCACCCCCCCACCTTCTCTGGCTTTTTGAGAGTCTCACTAAGTTGTCCACACTGGCCTTGAACTCAAGATCCTTCACCCAAACCTCCTAAGTGCTAGGATTACCAGTACACACAACCACATTTAGCTACAATTTATTTTTAAAGAAAGACATCAGCAAGGTCAAGAGGATTATCTTGTCTAGAAAGCCCTGGAGAGCTCCAAGAGCTGGGGGAAAGGAAACTGAAGTGCAAAGTCCTTCAGCTTTGGGCTACAAGGGTGAGGTGAATATAGACTCTCCCTGAGAGGATTAGATTGAGAAAAAGCCATCACAGATATCAGACAAAGAGCCTTATCAGTGCAAGCACTGAGAGCCAAGGACATGCTTGGGTTTAGTACTTACCTGGCCTAAGTTTCTGATAAGAACTGGGGACTGCCTAACTGGAAAAAAGTGTGGCACCTTTACTCTAGAAGTCAAACCATGCCTTTTTCCCAGGAAAGGTGCACAAGGTGAGGGGAACCCAGTGGCTTCTCAATTCAGAATTGGGGTGCAATACTGGAGCTTCTGTGTCTCCTAGGCCAGCAACCTTGTCTGGTTTCCCTTTGTGCCCTGTAGCCAAGGGAGTGACACACTCAGAAACAAATGACAATGTGGAGGTCTTATTAGTAGTGGAAAGCACTAGCTCCAGTCACAAACACAGAAGGTAATGCTTCCAAATGACACCCTACATGCCCCTTGTCCAGGCTGTTGACTTGTCCAGCCATCCACGCACTTTACAGTCCTTACTCAGCTGTGGATTCAGGGCTGGGTGTCCTCTAGCATCTCTGACCCTCCTGGACATCTGGGACCCAGCCCAGTTCTCGGCTCAGTGTTGAGTGGGCCCGCATTTCCCATGCTGTCATCTGTCCTCTCCATGAGTTCTTCCCCTTCCTGCTTCCTTCCTTCCATCTCAGGTTCTGTTTCCAGGTAATTTGATAGATATAACCCAGTCCTGTTGTCCCTGGAGGAATCTCACCTGAAATGAGGACAAAGAGAAGCAGGAGTCCACAAACCACTGCATTCAGCCACATATGACATCTATCCAGTCGCATGGTTGGCTTGCAGGTCTGTTTCTGTGCTGACAGGTGTTGTAGAGCAGGGCCTCAACCCTGTAGGAGTTTGGACCCAGCAGGGTGTAGGCAGGGCGCTGAGTGGGCGGGACAAGGTAGGTTAGCTGGAGAGCTGCACTGAGCAGGGATAGATCTCTGGGAGCCAGAGACCAGTGGTTAAGGCTGTGCTGTCTCTCCTCTTCCCTGATCTTCATTCTCTTCCCAATGCACTTCCTGATTTCATCATCTTCTCTCCTGCCACCCAGGAAAGAATGCACCAAACACATTCACTTGTTTTATTTGGTTTGTTTTTGGTGGCATGGTATGGAAGCTAGGGCCTTCACACTGAATTGCATCACAAAGCCCTTTTCAAATTTTTCTATTTTGGGACAAGGTCTTGCTAAATTATGAAATCAACCAGGCTGAACTGGAGTTTGTGATCTTCTTAGTTCAGGCTCCCAGGGTACTGGGATCAGAGGCACAAACCACCAGCCTCACTTTCTTTTTAAAGCAAACATTGTGTTTTTAAGGGAGCCATAGTTGTGGCGCAAGAACTTCTGTTGTATCCATCCTTGTTCTAACTCACTGCTGTTTGCTATGGCAGAGGAACGAGTCATTCAAGAAGCTGCTCCACAGCCATGGCTTTTAAAGACACCAGAAAGACACCTGTGGAACCAGAGGTGGTAACTTGCTTAATGAAAATTACCCTCACCAGCCACAAAGTGAAATCTGCAGAGAAGGTAAGTGTTCTGACCTCTGTTCAAAGGTACAAAGCAAAGAATCTCAAAGTGAAGGACCTCTTTATGACTAAGACTTTGAGAATCACCATAAGAAAAACACCTTGTGGCAAAGATTATAAGACACGGGACTCTTTCCAGGCAAGAATACACAAGCTATCCATTGACTTGCACTGTCCTGAGTTGGCGAAAGTGAGCTAAGAGGGGAGGCCTGAGTCCCCATTTGCAAGTGCTTAAGTTAACTATTTTAATCATTATCAGTGATTAAAAAAAGCAAACAAATTGGCTTTTCAAAACTGAGGCTTGACATTATATATTTGAAGAATTGTCAGTTTTACTAAGTTCATGCAGAACTAGAAAACATCCTTAAATTTATTAAATCAGAAATGGGGCTCTTTCCAGGTGGTGCCGAGCAATGGGCATCTCTCCGGACAACTGGCACAAGTGCCGCAAGACTGGGGGCAAAGAAAGCCCAATCACAAGAAGTGGAAGTATGGGTTAGGGTGCCCTGCTGCCAACACTAAGGTTGGCGCCCACCGCATACACATAGTCTGAGTTTCAGGAGGCAACAAGAAGTACTGAGCCCTGCGGCTAGATGTGGGAAACTTCTATTGGCGCTCTGAGTGTTGTACTTGAAAAACAAGGACCATTGATGCTGTTTACAATGTATCCAGTAACAAGCTGGTCCACACAAGGACCCTGGTGAAGAACTGTATTGTGTTCATTGACAGCATGCAATACCGGCTGTACGAATCCCACTATGCACTGCCCCAGGCTGAAAAAAGGGGACCAAGGTGACTTCTCAGGGGGAGGAGATTTTAAACAAAAAACGATCAAAGGAAATTCAAAAGAAGTATGATGAAAGGAAAAAGAACTCCAAAATCAGCAGCCTTGTGGAAGAGCAGTTCCAGGGGGGCAAGCTTCTCACCTGCATTTCATTAAGTCCAGGCCAGTGTGGCAGAGCAGACGGCTATGTGCTAGAGGGCAAAGAGCTGGAGTTCTGTCTGAGAAAAATCAAGGCCCGGAAAGGCTTCCCTCCTGGTTTAACTCATGTAATAATGTTTATTGTTCTTAAAAAAAAAGAAAGAAAGAAATGGGTTAGCACTGATGCATTAATATCTTTTATTACTAAATACTGAAAGAAAGTAAAATTATTTCTGTAGAAGACTTCCTGGAGAGGTTAGCTTTGGAGCAGGCGGATGGTACTTGGCTCACATTTTGAACACAATGGAAAGCAGATCCACGCTAGTGTTAGAGTTTCATCTTAGCCTTGTGCTACGCAGGAGTCAAGGCTCATCTTGGATTACATGTAATAAAAAATCAAAGTGCATACAAAGATTACAACAGTTTAAAGACCAAATTGGCCCTACTATGTGATCTCAGTAATAAACTCAAAAGTCTATGGGAAATAGGGACTCCAAGGAGCTGTGTATGAATTCTGGAGGAACCAGTACACTGAAAATTGAGTTTGTTTGAAATTTTCAAAATTATTTTCTGTTAATTCTTAGATGGTGCCTGTTGTAGTTTAATATTTTTGTTAAATTTGTTCACTAAATTGTGTATTTTCCAGCTGTATTCTCTTAATTCAAAGATTTGTTCTAATAGTGTTTGTGGATAGGATATCATGTCTGCATCTTGTGCAATGAATAACCACTAAGACAACAATATGCAATGTATTAATTATTGAAATTGTGCTAGTAATCAGTTTTGAAACTATCTCATTGCTATTTGTTTCTCAATAAAATTATTTCAAAACAAAACAAAACAAAAAAATTATGTATTTTCTAAGTGTAACAGCTACTCCTTATCATTTATCAGTAAGGAATTTAACTGACCATCTTCAATTTTTACACTTTTTTTTTTTTTGGTACTGGGGCCAAACTCAGGACCTTGTGCTTGCCAGGCAGGCACTTGTGCCTCTGAGCTATCTCCCTGGCCCAGTTTCTCTTCTTTCCTCACCAGCCCTGACATTCCTCCTTGTAATGACTTTTCTGCCATTAACTACTTTAATAGAAGTTGATATAGATTTGAAGTTGCCCATTCTACTGGCACTAAATGACATGGAAGAGGACAAAATGAGGAAGCCAAGTGAAGTAAGTCATATATTAAATGAAGAAAATCCACTTCCAAAAGATGGAAATACATTGATGGTGAAAAAAAAATAAGCCTGCACCATGGCTTTTACTTTTCTAGGGACCCCTTCAGCTCCCCAAAATTCCACAAACTGAACTTCAAAGAAATTGAATGAAAATATATCCCTTTCACTAAAAAATTCCCTGAAGATATCACCTGGATTCCTGACTGTCTAAATGATGTCTTCTTCTGCCACCACCATTTAACCCTTCTTGACTGTATTTGTCATAGATGTCCTTTTTTTTTTTTTTTTGCATTTGTTAACACTTTACATACCTCAGCTGCATTTTAAAATTTTCTCTTTACTGCTTCTTTATTCTCAGGATTTTTATGTGGCTGCCGCTTTAGTACAGGTTTCCAATGCACCGTTTTGATCTCCTTGGGTGAGGAATGAGTCTGCATGCCTAGAACTTCATATGAGTCCACCATGGTTTACCAGGTGTTTGGAAAAGATATGAGGCTATAGGTGTCCCACAGCAGAAAGGAAGGAGGTGGATGCCCTGTCTGCCAGAGTCCCCAGTATAGCTACACTTGCACCTGCTTTATGACTTCTGACTTCTTGGAATCTAATCTCCAACATGAGGAACCCGGTCCTCAAACCTGGAGTGATTATATCCACTGTCCTTGCAGTCATGGGCTGGAGGAAGGTGTTAGGTATCCCAGTGCCAGAATAGAAAGCTTTAATCGGGGAACCCAGGAAGGCTGCTTGAGGAGGTGCAGGATGGGGATCCCCACAGATAGAGAATAGAAGTGACCTTCAATCAGGGTGAAGAGAAGGGTTTTGGCAAAGAGGTGTAAGTTTGCCCTTCATCCTGAGAGTGCCTCCTTGCCTCCTGGACTCATAGTTTACTGGGTCTCCTACAAGGTCCTTAACCTCTACAGCACATGGTCTGAGATCCTCTGAGGACTTCTTTGTATTCAGTCTTGTTTCTTCTTATCAAATGCATCTGAGACTCTGGTATTTCTGTAGGTCCCCAAAATTCCATTACTGAGATCAATCTTGGTCATGTATCAACTAAAAAACCATGAATTTGTCTTCCTTTTTCCTTCTTCTCTCTCCCTCCTTTCCCTTCTCCTTCCCTTCCTCTCTTCCTTCCTTTCTTCTATCCCCCCTTCCTTTTTCTTTCTCTTTGTTTCAGTCTCCTTTCTTTCTTATTTTCTGACAGGCTCTTAATATGTTGTCCAGGATGACCTTGAACTTACTACAAAGCCCAGGATGGTACCCAACTTGGAGTTCTCAGTGCTTGGATCCCAGATGTGAGGCATACTTGGCTGAAAAACAAGTGAAAGGCATGCTGGCCTGGCACGAGGAAACTGACAGCCAAATCTCATGTTACCCAGGGAAGGAAGAGAAGTCACAAGGAGATTCTTAGGTATCCTGAGCCTGCAGGGGTGGAGGGAAGCACCCTGGGTCTGGGGGTGCCTGCCCAGCCTGACTATGCAGAGGAATGGGTGTCATGCTCGCCTCAGATGGCCTTAGTCCCCCCCACCCCATGGCCTTGGCCTCTGCCTTCCAGTGCCCCACAGAGTCTCACAGCTCAGAGCTGTCTGAGTCCCTTCTCAGTGCCATGGAAGGAGCAATGAGCTTTCATCTCTGTCTGAGTGGCAGGTGAAATAAGACTGCTCCCTCCTTAACCCTCATCCAATCAGCAAGGCCTGTTGTTGACTCAGTGTCAGTCATCCAAGGCACTGTGGCCCAAGTCATGTTCCCAGCCCCTGTCTGGGCAAGTATGGATGCTCTCTCTTCCTCCATTTCTGAATTGATCAATTTCTAGGTTGTGGGTGCTGAGAGATCTCCAGCTCCTCCCAGCTCAGGCTCATGGCGCAAGCTCCTTGTGTTAAGTGGACAGGACAGCGCTTCTTCCTAATCCGGAGCTGCTGCCCACCACTGCTGGGGTGAACGGGGGCTCCTATGTGCCCCCACTGCTGTGCCATCATTAGGAGGCCGCTGGCACTTTTGTGGAGCAAGTCAATAGTAAAAATGTGGAACAAAGAAAAAAAGAGTGTCAGTGGCATATCTGTGTGAATGTTGCTCTCTTTTTCTCTCTCTCACTCTCGCTCTCGCTCTCACTCTCGCTCTGTCTCTGGCTCTTGCTCTTCCTCTTTCTCTCTCCTTCTGCATCTATCCATCCATCTCCAGAAAAAGATGAAAGCAGAGTTTAAAAGACCACGGAAACACTGGCAAAGAGATCACATTACATACGTAGTGAATGGAATTGATTTGAGACCTGAAAGTCCAAGTCTTGTTGAAGGTATGGAGCAACTCATCTTAATGTATGACTGGTGGGGATGCAAATTGTATAATCATTTTGGAAGATAGT